GGGAGCGGGGGGGGGGGGGGGGGCGTATAAAAAAGAGTCAAGGAGGCTCGCAATCTATAAAACAATTGCAAGGGCAGATGGGAGCGATAAAAAGAAATAACGATTCGGACGGATAAAGCGTCCGTATTGACCGTCTCGAGGCGGTGTCAGACGCTGTTTTGCATGCAGACGAGATCGTGTTCCTGCGCCGCTGTCCTTTAAACAACCTTTGTGGCCCAGAATGCACTTAACATGCACAGGAACGAGAAGGCGGGCGTTGATTTATTCTCCCTGGTAGTGTATTCCGATGGAGCTTTTTAAGAGTTGCAGCTTTTGGCGGAGGCTGACAGGCCAATCGTAATTAAGATTCATTATACGGAGAGACTTGGGGAATGGAGGTCAGCAGGGCTTGTTGTGGAGTCGACGACTGGCCCCTGCCCCTCCCGCCTTTCAATCAAACGCAGACGAGAGAGGAGAAGAGTACATTTCCAAATTGATTTTTTTATAAATTGCTCTTATTGCCTGATATCTGGAGATGGGGGGAAAAAAATGGAAGCAGACGTTGTACGTGGGCCAGATCCCAAGTGCATGCTGTGCGTGATAAATGCATTAAATCCGCCCCCGCCCTTCCTAGCTTTGGTCTAATGCAGTATAGATGTATACGCAAGCCAAATAGCCAAATATACAATGAAAGCCCATATGCTTTGGAACAATGCTGTATAGACTCCAGCCAACCAGCCAGATATATAGTTGAAACAGCTACTGTAGGTAGATGGATGATATAGGTAGATAGGTAGATAGATAGATAGATAGATAGATACCAAAAATGGATCTGTTCTGCTATATGGCTATATAGTGAGTATAACACTTTCCAAGCCATGCGGTGCTGAAGTGTACATTCCATAACCTAATCTGTATGCTGCTGAAGGGAAGCCTCAGCTTTCTCCTTCCTAAACCCCTCCAAAAACCGACTTAACTTTCAGTTTAAACCAACGAAATACATTCCATGTGCATAAAAATGGTGTGCAAAGGCTTCATTTTCCAGCATGCTGCAGGGAAGGAAACAGTGGCACTGATATGTGTTGGATATGTGAGGGACCACTGTTTCCACACAAGAGCGAGGAGTTCTTCTCAGACAGGGGACAGGCTTTTCTCCTCAGGCTGTGGCTGCTTTCTAAAGAGAATGAACTGCAAGGCTGGGTTCACACCTAGGCGTATCGAATATGCGCGTTTGTCGCGCGTTGCGTGACGTGCGTTTTTACAGCGATTCGCGGTTAAGAAAAAGCGTGACAAACGCGCGTTTCCGAGGGCTACTTGGCTGTATCCCAATGGAAACGCGCGACAAAAACGCCCCAAAGAAGCTCCTGTACTTCTTTGGGCGTAGGACGTTTTGTAGCGCGTTCATACGGCCTGTAATACGCCCAGGTGTGAACCACACCCATAGGAAATAATGGGATTTCGGTGTTTGAGCGTTTTGCAGAGCGTTCGAACGCGCTACGAAACGCCCAGGTGTGGACCAGGGGTAAGACTTTGACTAACGTTTGCTTTGATCCACCTGAAGGTGTTCAACTGATTTAAACTGTTAGTTCAGTTGGGCTTTAAAGTGGACCTTTCAGTATCTTTACTGTGTGCATGAAAAATGACCTGACATGTATGTCATTCAGCAACAGAATCGTTTTTTTCAGGAAGTTCCACCTTTTATCATTAAAATCCTTAGGCTCCTTGAGATGATGTCATCAGTCTGCTGCAGGCAGGAGACAACATTTCCCTTAGTTTCTTCTCCCCCAGTGATCAGCCTGCACCTGCATATTGTCACAATTTCCCGTTTGGTGCCCCTGTATTATAATGGATGGTCATTTGTTGTCCTCATAGTGTAACGTTTACCCATTTGTTGCCCATGTGTCAGGATTGCCATGTTTTGCCTATGTATTGTCAAGTACGCGCTGTTTGGTTAGAGGAGGGCCCATGTTCTCCTGAAGACGTGAGGATGCCAAGGCACAGTCTACGAGCCGGAGCAGATCACTTTTGAGAGGGTCGTGGAGCCAGCTGCCCATCTAAACGAGGCTTTAGTTCATTGGTCTGGCCCTCCCATTAGTCTTTCTATTCCTTGACTCCAAACTCTGGGTCCAATGGATCAGGGGGTACCCTGTTTGTGCTGGGAGCAGCCTCCCTGGAGCCATTGCGCTCCCTTTAAATGCCACTGACCTTCATCAACCATTGATGAGTCCAATCCACTGCCTCAGTCAAACATGCCCCAGCAAAAAACTTCAGAGGGTCTCTACATTGTCAATGTCCAACAAGATATAAAGCTGCAGTGTAGGCTTTAAGAGGTCGGCATGGGCGTCCCGAGGCCAGGTGTCACCTGGAGCGGGTACCGGGTGACACCCGCTGTGTCGTCATCGCGCATGCACGGCCATCTGATTGATGCCTGCCAGCGGCCATCTTGGTGATGGATGGCGGCAGAAAGAGAAGGGGATGTTCACCCGGCGGGATAAGGTATGCCGCTGGGTCCCCTCCTCTCTCCTGCAACTGTTGGGCTCTCGGTCCGTGACCTAGTGCCCGACATTTCAGAGGGGGCGACACCAAAATGACTTGCAATCATTGTGGTGTCACCCGGGTGCGGGCCGAACCTCCCGCACCCCCCTAGTGACGCCACTGGAGGTCGGTGTTCTTCTTGTGCAGCTCTAAGGTCCAGGTGTTTTTTTTTCCAACCGCACCCTATGACATACGGAAAGACTCTTTGTGGTACACTGATACCCAATCACTGCTCAAAGATAAATATTAAAATCCTTTTTGTTTATCATTTGTTCTTCTTTTATTTCTAGCGGCAGTCAGAATGCAGGACAAGAAGGGGGAAGAGGCATTGTACTATGTTGGCATCGATGTGGGAACGGCGAGTGTACGTGCGGCTTTGGTGAACCAAGCTGGGATGGTGGTTGACCAGGCAGAAGAGCCTCTGGAAATTTGGGAGCCTCAACCCGACCACTATGAGCAATCGTCCGCCGACATCTGGAAGGCTTGCTGCGCCGTCACCAAGGTATTTATAGTAATCCCTAAACAATGCCGGGAGATCTCTAGAGGAAGATGTTTGCTGCGTGTAGGTGACTTCCTGTCAGTGATCCTAATAAAAAAAGAACCTTCAGAATGCCTCTGCACAGCCAAAACGACTGAGAACCAATCAAATCAGGCTACCCTGTGTATGTATATGCATGGCTGGATTTACTCTCTCTGCTGCCCCAAGGCCAGGTTTCTCAATGCGCTCCCCCCCCACCCCCTACACGCCAAACCCCCCCATGGAGAATGGCAGACCTGCAGGCAAGTGATCTCGGTGACATCACCGGAATCACTTGTACATAACAAGCGGCGGCTTCCCCGCTGTACATTTAGCTCTTCTTGCCCAAAGCTGGGCTAAATGTAGAAAACAACTACCCACCCGGCGCCCGGAACTGCATGTCCCGGGCATCGGGAGATAGGAACTCCACACCCCTGCCGCCCCTCTACTCCCTGCTGCCCCAAGGCCGGGCCTCGGTTGGTCTAGTGGTAAATCCGGCCCTGTGTATATGTATGTATGAAGCTTGTAAAATCTCAGTTACCGAGAAGGTATCAGAACGTCTTATATATAGAAGAATATTTTCTAGTTTCTCTATGCACAATGATTCAACCTGTTGGCATCTACTCAAATCGGACATATCAGAATCATCCCTAAACAATCCAAATTGATTGTGAGACAATAAGAATGATAACTAAATTCCATTAAAGGGAAACTCCGGCGTGTTTTTCACAAGGACATATTTTGAGTCATTAGTTACATTTTTGCCATTTTTTCATTTATCTTTCACTGTTTGCATGCTTGCTGTACTGATTTCCATTATTGTATCTTGTATGTCGATTTGGAGGATCTCCTTGTGGTTGTCAATCACTCATCCCCTTCAGTTCAATAACTGCTGAGATAAAATCCTCTACTACACTGAATAGCCTTTCTTAACGCTAGGGTTCCTCCAGAGGTTGCCAGGGGTTCCTTGGGCAATGAGTTCTTACTGACTCTCAGATAAGTTATTACTGACTCCATTGATCTTTTTTTATTATCTGTAAGGGCGGCATTCCTCCCACTGACCCCCAATGTAAGGAGCATTCTTCTCACTGCCCACCAATGTAAGGAGCATTCTTCCCCCCGACCCCCAATGTAAGGAGCATTCTTCTCACTGCCCACCAATGTAAGGAGCATTCTTCCCCCCGACCCCCAATGTAAGGAGCATTCTTCTCACTGCCCACCAATGTAAGGAGCATTCTTCCCCCCGACCCCCAATGTAAGGAGCATTCTTCTCACTGCCCACCAATGTAAGGAGCATTCTTCCCCCCGACCCCCAATGTAAGGAGCATTCTTCTCACTGCCCACCAATGTAAGGAGCATTCTTCCCCCCGACCCCCAATGTAAGGAGCATTCTTCTCACTGCCCACCAATGTAAGGAGCATTCTTCCCCCCGACCCCCAATGTAAGGAGCATTCTTCTCACTGCCCACCAATGTAAGGAGCATTCTTCCCCCCGACCCCCAATGTAAGGAGCATTCTTCTCACTGCCCACCAATGTAAGGAGCATTCTTCCCCCCGACCCCCAATGTAAGGAGCATTCTTCTCACTGCCCACCAATGTAAGGAGCATTCTTCCCCCCGACCCCCAATGTAAGGAGCATTCTTCTCACTGCCCACCAATGTAAGGAGCATTCTTCCCCCCGACCCCCAATGTAAGGAGCATTCTTCTCACTGCCCACCAATGTAAGGAGCATTCTTCCCCCCGACCCCCAATGTAAGGAGCATTCTTCTCACTGCCCACCAATGTAAGGAGCATTCTTCCCCCCGACCCCCAATGTAAGGAGCATTCTTCTCACTGCCCACCAATGTAAGGAGCATTCTTCCCCCCGACCCCCAATGTAAGGAGCATTCTTCTCACTGCCCACCAATGTAAGGAGCATTCTTCCCCCCGACCCCCAATGTAAGGAGCATTCTTCTCACTGCCCACCAATGTAAGGAGCATTCTTCCCCCCGACCCCCAATGTAAGGAGCATTCTTCTCACTGCCCACCAATGTAAGGAGCATTCTTCCCCCCGACCCCCAATGTAAGGAGCATTCTTCTCACTGCCCACCAATGTAAGGAGCATTCTTCCCCCCGACCCCCAATGTAAGGAGCATTCTTCTCACTGCCCACCAATGTAAGGAGCATTCTTCCCCCCGACCCCCAATGTAAGGAGCATTCTTCTCACTGCCCACCAATGTAAGGAGCATTCTTCCCCCCGACCCCCAATGTAAGGAGCATTCTTCTCACTGCCCACCAATGTAAGGAGCATTCTTCCCCCCGACCCCCAATGTAAGGAGCATTCTTCTCACTGCCCACCAATGTAAGGAGCATTCTTCCCCCCGACCCCCAATGTAAGGAGCATTCTTCTCACTGCCCACCAATGTAAGGAGCATTCTTCCCCCCGACCCCCAATGTAAGGAGCATTCTTCTCACTGCCCACCAATGTAAGGAGCATTCTTCCCCCCGACCCCCAATGTAAGGAGCATTCTTCTCACTGCCCACCAATGTAAGGAGCATTCTTCCCCCCGACCCCCAATGTAAGGAGCATTCTTCTCACTGCCCACCAATGTAAGGAGCATTCTTCCCCCCGACCCCCAATGTAAGGAGCATTCTTCTCACTGCCCACCAATGTAAGGAGCATTCTTCCCCCCGACCCCCAATGTAAGGAGCATTCTTCTCACTGCCCACCAATGTAAGGAGCATTCTTCCCCCCGACCCCCAATGTAAGGAGCATTCTTCTCACTGCCCACCAATGTAAGGAGCATTCTTCCCCCCGACCCCCAATGTAAGGAGCATTCTTCTCACTGCCCACCAATGTAAGGAGCATTCTTCCCCCCGACCCCCAATGTAAGGAGCATTCTTCTCACTGCCCACCAATGTAAGGAGCATTCTTCCCCCCGACCCCCAATGTAAGGAGCATTCTTCTCACTGCCCACCAATGTAAGGAGCATTCTTCCCCCCGACCCCCAATGTAAGGAGCATTCTTCTCACTGCCCACCAATGTAAGGAGCATTCTTCCCCCCGACCCCCAATGTAAGGAGCATTCTTCTCACTGACCCCCAATGTAAGGAGCATTCTTCTCACTGACCCCCAATGTAAGGAGCATTCTTCCCACTGACCCCCAATGTGAGGAGCAAAATTTTGGAATAATGAGAATGCCAAAAACATGATGACTTTTCATGGCTAGCTGAAGCTATACACACTTGTTATAGTAAGCGAGGTTACATTGAGTATTGCGTGGAATGATTGGGCAATCTAAAGGGTTAACTTTAAAACAAAATGGGAATCTGAGCATTGAAAATACTCGTGTAGCACGCAGCGACTTTTACAACACGTTGGAAAGTATCTCCCTGACATAGAATGGCATTTATTGCTCTATTGGTGTGACTGCCCATGCTCCTAAAATGAAGAATGCAAACGTTTATTTTAGACTTGAATGTAGTTAAAGAACAACTAAAGGCTCCTGTATGTGTATAGAAAGCCTCAAATCCAGTTACTGTGTGATGCGCAAGTCTCTTAAAGTAAACCATAAACTTCCTTTACCTTCCCTGACTGAGCCAAATCCTCCTCCATTTGTGTCTCACAAGCTCCCCCTCTAAGGCACTCCAGCTCACAGTGGGAGGGTTTCAGCAGCAGACGCAGTGCTGTCAATCCAGAAAGCAGTGGGCAGGACTGGGTGTGACTAGTTCTGATTGACAAGCTACAGGCTTATGAATCAGCAGTGACAATTCTGATAGCCACACCCCCTGCAACATCTTCTCATCCCACTGTAAAGCAAGCAGGCACAGCCTACATGAGAGTGACAGACTGCAGGTCTGCCATTCTCCATGGGGAGTGTGGGGGGGAGGGGCGTGTAGGGGGGCGCATTGAGGAACCTAGCCTTGAGGCAGCAGAGAGAGTAAATCCGGCCCTGGTAACATGCAGTCTGGTGGGCGGTGCCTATGGGGATCCCCCTCCTCCATGTGTACTGTGGTTCTGGTGTCACAAGAACAGGAAGTGAGGGTAAATCTCCCAAAAGGGACACAACCCACAATAAAAAGAGACACAACACATACATGACTCAAAACCCGGACTGTGTGGATGAATCCCAGACAGGTGGCAGCCCTATGTGTAGAAGCTACCAGTCCACAATCCGGACTCTTCTGCAATGCTATTGGATAGTAATGCCAATAGGACAATTCCAGGTTTCCACATCTACCTACCCATTTTTCCAAGCAGTAAAAACCTGACGGGTTCTAATCCTTAATCACTCTAACAGGGGTGTCCCAAGGTCGGGTGACACCCGCTGTGTCGTCATCGCGCATGCACGGCCATCTGATTGATGCCTGCCAGCGGCCATCTTGGTGATGGATGCCGGCAGAGAGAGGAGGGGACGTTCAGCCGGCAGGATGAGGTATGCCCCCGGGTCCCCTCCTCTCTCCTGACACTGTCGGGCTCTCGGTCCATGACCGAGTGCCCCGACTTTTTAGAGGGGGGGTGACACCAAAATGACTGTCAGTCATTTTGGTGTCACCCCTGCAATGGTGTCACCCCCCGCACCCCCCTTCTGACGCCACTGCACTCTATCCAGAATGAGAAAAATAAGCTTTGGATTCACCGTACACTTTGAGGACACAATGAAACATTTACAGACGTAGTAACTCTTCCCAAGAATATCAAAAATAAAAAACCCTGTTACGGGTTAGTAGAAGGAATGATGTCCTACGTGCAAAGTCCACCGCCTCAAACCAAATGTATTTGCTACATTTTACTCCTTGTCCTGCTTTTTTTTAAAGAACCCAAATCCTCTTTTCCTTCTGTAGGTGGTACAAAGTCTGCACTCTCCCACCCCCGTCCCCACCAGCCGCCCTGGACCGTACATTTGACCTCCTCTCTCATATTGACCTCATTAACTTCCATCTTCCCCTGAGAAAGTTTGGGGTCTCAGGGACAGCAGTCCTTTGAACTTGGCAGAGTTCAGATATGAGGCACGGAACAATGCCGGGGCCTTGTCAATGGCTGAAACATGTTTCTCAACAGCCTAACGAGGTAATTGGGCTCATTAGCCTAATTGTTTTCTTGCAGACGGCCTAAATAGCCGTTTCCCGCACATCACACGGGAACTTCAACCTCGAGTAGAGTCAGCCGGTGGGGTGGTGACGTTATGCGGGAAACATTTGAAAGCCGTCTTGTTTGTTTTACCTTCAGTTTATACTTTGTATCTTCAGCAGGCTTCTCACTGGGCTTCTGGTGCGGCACTGCAAGCTCTCGTCATGGGATTCCGCCATGTTCTGAGATCAGGCCACATAGTGTGATAATTGCATTTTCCAAGGCACGGATGTTGGGCCCTTCAGAAAACATCATAGGGACTTAGGGCAGGTTCACACCATTTTATAGACCAGATCTGGTCCGGAAAATGGTGTGAACCTGCCCGCAGTTCCAGTGTATTCCAGACCAGACAAAATGAAACATGCAGTATTTGTCTGGTCTGGACTGCGCTGATGTGAACAGAGGCCAGAAATAGCATAGGGATACATTAGGATGCATTTTGGGTCCGGAAACAATCTGCTCTGGTCTGCAGATGATCTGGTTGTGGTGTGAATGGGCCCATAGGGAGCAGGACCACCAATCGAACAAGATGGCTGCCATCATGGAATTAGAGCCACGCAGCACATATGTCGCATCTTCTCAGTCAGTTTAAATGCAGCTTTTTATGTTTAGCTGGATCGTACCTGTACAACCTAACTCAGAGATATTTATATACATACACCATACACATACCATACACATACCATACACATACAACATACACATACAACATACACATACCATACACATACACCATACACATACACCAATGAACAAATAGAAAGTCACTCGCACTCCAATGTAGCTTCCAATCAATCTATTTAGTGACTAAATGGTGCAGCATTTCCACACATACCATACACATACCAGGCACATACCATACACATACACCATACACATACCATACACATACCAGACACAATTGCCCTGATTCCGTTTTACAAATTACACTTTTCACCTTGTTTTTAATCCTATATTGCATCTCAGTGTTGCTCATCTCCTGCAGCCCCTTTGTAGACACTACATACATGTACTGCATCAGCATAACTCCCAACAAAAAAAGTCTATTTAACTGTATTTCTTGGTTTGTGGACACCTGTTATAGAAAATCTAAAAATAAGCATTGTGGGCCTTAAAATATACATAATGTGATGAGATAATACAAAACAAGTGGTTACTGTCAGTGAAAACCGCATGTCGATAGGACCAGTAGATCCAAAGATACAGCCAGTTGAAGTTGCATTGGAAATCATCCCTGCAGATGATAACTTTGGCCCCGCCCCTATTAAGCTGTCACATTGGAGGATCAACAGGGAGGCAGAAGGGGCGGAGCTACGCTCAACCATTTACAGAAATGGCTGAGCACTACATAAAACTTCAACTGCCTATATCTCCAAATCTACTGGTTGCTTCGACATGCGGTTCTCACTAAATGTGACCTCTGCTTATGTATTTTTTTTATCATAAGCTAGGATTAGATTGGCCAGTTCTGTGACGGGTTCACTTTAAGCACACTTTAAGGGGCTGATTTATAAATCTTCTGCCCATTGCCTTGCTGGGTGAATGCCATTCGCACGGCACAACCGCCTCTAGCTAACGTCAAGGAGCATACAAAATTCACACGCTCATCAGTGCCACCTAGTGGTGGTCTTGCCGCGCGAATGGCATTCGCTCAGCTGTCCGCTGGGTGTAAGATTTCCAAATCGGCCCCTATGTGTTGTTCCTACATTAGCAGGCCACTGATTGATTTCACAGTTTGGACACATTTAATTGGGAACAGTAACAGATGAGAGCGAAGGTCTCCTTTCAGAAAACTGAATTGATAAATAATTCATG